TCTTGAACAGCTGAAGTTTAGCTACATGTTAACCATACTAAACGCTCATTGCCATAGTCCAAAGAGTATTGCTAATAGTAACTTGATTAGCGTTTGCATTGGCTCCCGCTATCAAAGCTTTCCACACAATCTCACGATGGGCAAGGATGCCACCTTCACGATTGCCATAGGGTAGGCCCTTCAAGAAGAGCACCGCATCTATCTGGGGTCCTGTGAGGTAGTCCACGTCCACTTTTGTTAGCATGGCCATCGTCCTCTCCCCTCTGGGAGGAGATGAATATGAAGCCCTACCCGAAATAATATACACCCGGACTCCAGTTGTAAGTTTGTATGTATTGTCTTTATGTACACCGGGCAATTTTTACGTTGTATTTATATTTTTTACGCATTTTTATGCGCAAAAACGTAAAAACTATTTTCATGCAAAAAAACAGAAATACGATCAGTTTTTAAGGCATAAAGACGTAACTTGATTGCTTAAAAAGCAACGCAACTGAACCCAACAAGTTACCTTGTAAGCAAAACCAAATAGGCAAAGAACAATCTTGCTCATTGTTTTTGGCTCCCACACCATCCCTCGACGAGATGATTCTCACTCTTTTGTGGTGGACTGGGTAGTGTGAAACGAGATAAAGGGGCAGCCGAAATGTGCAACTACATGGCCACCCACTTGAACCTCAGAAATGTCGCTCACCCAATACCACCCTTGTCATAAGCCCGTTAACAGGATAGTCAATTCCATATTGTGGTTGCACTTTTCCATGTGAGTGTTGAATATTTGACAATCCCGTAGGAGGGTGTATGGAGTGGCGACTCGTGGCCACCGAATCAACATGCATTATTTTTATAATGGACTTTGCAGAACAATATCCAAAGCGAGGTTGAATGTTGGAATTTTCGGACCAGCAATTTGTCTGAATTGAGGTGTTGTTAGCCAAGAATCGGCAAGGTAACAAGTTGCCAATCATATCTTGTACTGCAACAACCTGGCACACTCCTATCAACGCAAATGGCAAATGGCACCCGGCCACCCACTTGCACTACTTACAATTGCTAGGCACTCTACTCCCAAGGTGCATTGTTGCTGATTCTTATGTGTCCGGATTGGGGTCCGTTGGTGAGCATCGTGTTGGACAATGTCTGAATTAGGACATGCTCTAGCTTTTTTTGGGCAAACAGATTTTAACGGATTAGGCTCCTTTCTGGCGATCGAGCTTGTCTTTGGCATTTATTCCTGGGACAGGTCGCCAACATATCGAAAACGCGTTGGTATCAACCTCTCAAAGCGGCAATTCAGGTGGGTGTGGCTTCAGCATCGCTTAAGTCAGGATCACGCCATCAGCAATTGACGTGGCGGCAAGAGTTACGTGCTGCTACTGACACGCTGGGATACAGAGGCCAAAACGTCAGCTGCCAAGTTGTTGCGGATTTTTTCTTGAATTTCTTTTGGAATTTTGGCACTTTTTGGTTGTTTTTGTTTATTTTTATTTTTGTAATTTTCTGTAACTTTTTTGTCTTTCTTTGGTTGGGTTTGGGTTTTCACACACTCGACTCCCAATACGACCCAGTCACCGCTACGCAAAACTGCCGCAATCCAGGCCGGGCCTCCACCCCGCCCCTTGGGGCGCAAGCGGCCGGCTGGCGGTGACGCTTCGCGCCGGCTGGCGGGCGCCGCTCGGGGCCGGCCGCTCGAGCCCAGGTGCCTTGGCTTGGAATGTGACGCCGCGACTTGGACAGCGGGCCCCGCGCTTTGCGGGTCTGCATCCCTGGGCCGCATTCTGTGATCAGCGGGGATACGGTGCCAAGGGCCTGGGCGTGGGGCTTGAGGACGAGGTGCACGTGCACTGGCTGGACACGTCTCAGGTGCTGTTCTCGTCCGTCCAGCCAGGCTCCGTTCGGGAATTTCTTGAATGGAGCGAATGGCAGCTCTGGTGCTTCCCAATTGCGCGCAGCGCCGCGCACGTCCGGCAGCGTTTGTAGGAATTAGCCAAACTATGCGTGAGAGCATCTGCTAAGTGGGGCCTCTTGGCACCTTTGTGCGTCTTGGGTTGTTCGTGATGTTAAAATAACTGCAGGGGCAAACTCGGAATTGCCCGCATTTGTGACCATTCTGCAGTTTTCCACATTTCAGACGCTGGGCCCATGAAAATGGAACACTGGGTGCCCAACATCCCTTTGTTAACAGAGGGCAGAGCAGCATTCTGCTCTGCCTTAATCAGTAGGAACTCACGCTAGGGAGATGGTGGAACAGGGCTATTAGCAACGAGTAGGCCATGCTTCAATATACCTGGTGCAAGGGAGGTTTGTCTGCTGCTTGATCATGGCCACCAGCCCTGTGCTGTTTCCCCCATCTGCACAAGTCTGGTACAAACAAGTCTTATTTTGATTGCATTTGTCACAATGCAAAAAAAGCTCCTACACCAGATTGGCGATGTTGTGCAATGATCCCCAGCACCTGCAGCTGTTCTTTCCCATAGCATTTGTTCACAGTCAATTTTGGGCTGCCCAAAATGCTTCCTGTGCACAATTATGTACACCTAACCTTGCGTGCAGAGACATTACCCGATTGCCCTTTCTGTTGCTTGGCTTTAGAATCAGTAGGACATTGTCTGCTAACCTTTGTGTCCAATGTGTTGTGGATGGCTTGATTCAGGTCCATGGCACAAATCTGTTAGAGCGATACAGGCAGCTACTTTCCCACTGGGATGTGGAGTATGTGCTTCAAGCAAGAAATGCCATGGTGCAACAGGAGAGAATCTTGTCACGCCTGTTGCTGAGGACAACACTCTGTGGGTATCTTGATGGCGATGTTCAGCCCCAGGTAGGGCATGCAACAATGTGATAGGCAGTGTCCTACTGCTGGCACAACTAATCTACTGGATTAGCGGCAGTTCTCTGAAAGAGTGCTGGGTTGCTCTGCCAACGAATGGCCTGCCGCTGAAGTCAACAAGGCAGGAGACTGTCAATGCATTGATATGGAAGATGTGAGCTGACATCAATATCTGTCTGGCACCTTCTGAGATATCGCTGCTGTTGGCAGTCCAAGTTTCTGATTGCCTTTGTGGGTACTTGTGTCGCCGATGTGTTGAATACAGCATTGTAGGCTGACTGTACAGTTACAGTCTTGTTGTAGAACTTGCAAACAATTCATGTTTGTGACATAGCCGGGGCGATTCCGACGGCAGATCTGGTGTGTCTTGGATAGCCTGTTGTTTCAGGCCTTAGCATGAAATTGATGTGAGAATTTTTTATTTATCGTTGTGTATCCTGTGTTTTATTGCTGTTGCTGGTTGGTGATATTTCGATTTGGCCAAGTTTGCACAACCATGTGCAGGCAGAACATGATTCTGATGACAAGGAGAAAGCTGTTGCACAGGTGCAGCAGGACCCACTGCAAGATAGTCATTACTTTTATTTGGTGTAGTCAACACTATTGGTTGTTTCAACATGTTCTGACTTGTGTCAGATTGTTTCAATTGTTATTCAAATATTGTGAATAAACTGCTGCATAGCTTGTTGTGCATGTGGTTGAAACACAACATTTTTGTTGATGAGATTATGCAGATGTTCAACTCTGTTTCATCTCCATTGTTTACTACCAGTATGTAGTATGATCAGAACTTGCAAATTACGTTGATATCACACATATCAGAACATGGCTGTGTGTTTTATGATCATAACATGAAAAGTCGACTCTTCAAAAGTGCCAGCAATGCCGCCTAGTCTGGTTATGGGGTCCATAGCGCCAACATGGCTTGATCCAACACATTAATGGCATTGCAGGAGCTTTGCTTCTCCGTGGGTGCAAATGGGAAACCACGGCTGGATTTTGGCCAAATGGCCGATGGCGTTGGACCAAATAGAATATCGTTCAACCTGTCACACACAGCGTCTCTCATTGGTATGGGCTCGGGCAGTGATGAATTGGATTATATATAGGATGCTCCAGAAAGAATACTCCAAAGGAAGCACATGTTTTGGCAGCCTCTTGTGCATTTTCAGCCCTGTTTCATCACTTGTATTCATATTCAGTTGAGGGACAATTGCAGCCCATTTTCCCAAAGATCCATTTCTGTTGTGCTACATCTTGTTCTTTGTTGGTGTTCATAGCGTGTTTTCCAGTTTTAGGCTCAACTTTGGTTTTCTGTGGCTGAGGGTTCTGACATCGGTAATCGCACAGGAAAATGGGCTGTATTTGCGCATAACAGCCTGCAGATGGACAAAAGCGGGCTGTAAGTGCCCCTCAACAAGCTGGAACAGGCTTGGACCCGAAAACCCCACCATGAGCAGTGCTCGATGTAACAGCAGACTTATAGTCTCTTTGCTAGAGGCCTTGTGCTAAGCAAGTGCTGCAGAAGTGTGGATGTAGGGTACTCACACAACAATGCTTATGGGTTTGCTTATGACTCATGCTAATGAGTGCACAACAGTAAGCATATGCAAGGGTAATTCATTGGTACAGTCTGGCCCAGCCCATCAGCCATGTTTCAATTCATGTGGCTGCAAAGAAAACATTGTTGGATGTTTGAAATGCAGCCACAAATGACAGATGAAGCCTGATGAAAGCAGTGGAACAAGTACCGTATTTGCTTGCCATTTTCATTATGAAAGCCCCACTCATGCACTCATGTTCGTATGGGCCATCGACAGTCTCCAGAATGCCAGTGAGGCATGCATGGCATGTGGACCTTTGATAGTATATCTCTTGCCGTTTTGGAGCTGGTGGTATTGTTTCTTTGATGGACTTCATACTCGCTGTACCTTCAGTGCACATCAACTTGAACAGCATGCGATAGCCCCCAGATGATGTCCACTGGGCTGAAACTTGGTAGTGTTGGGCAGCCAGCCTTGTGCCATTCCAGCCTCCGTTAACGCCCAGGATTCAAGTCTGATCCCAGCCTGTGGTGTTTGCTGCATGCTCTACAGGCGTTGCAGTGGGGCAGGATGTGGACTTGGGGCTAGATGTGGAGCTCACATCCAGGCGCCCCAAGAACCACTACATGCGTATTGCCAACAGATACATGCACCCCTTGGAGGTGGAGCACATTGCAGGTTGGACGGCAACTACATTCACAGCCTCTTTTGGAATTTGAGTGTTCCTGTCACAACTTCAGGGTGAGCCATATTTTGATGCTTGTGGAAATGGCAAATTTCACAGTCAATGGCGCCACACTAAGAGGCTGCCGATGGTGCCCAGCATCCTCAATTTGACCTTCCAGCGGTGTGCAGAATGGCCTGTTACCACCAGATTAGCCCAGCAGTGCTGCTTGGCTTCACTTGAGTGGAGGATTGAAAAAAGAGAGCTTTGGGAGTGGACCTTTGCATATGTGGAGGACAGCCAACATAGCCTTATATTAAGATAAAGAGGAAGCAATTTGTTATGCTGTCAAGTCTTTGCACGTACCGATTTTCGGAATCCGCACGAGACTAGGAAAGGATGCCAGCATCTGCTCTGAATCTAACCCAAAATGTTGTCACAAAAGGTTTTGCAACTGAGGATGAACAGTGGTCAGCCTTCATGTCCCTTTGGACTGTGAAAGAGGCTTTTGTGAAAGCCCAGGGTTTGGGCTTCAGCGGTGCAAAGGGCTTCAAGGGCTTCCATGTAGGTGAGTCATCACTTGTTGTCCTGTCCAGAGGTGCACAACTGTGTGGCATGATGCCTCTGCGTACCTTTCTGATTGCACTGGTGTTGTGTTGGCCTTTTCAAATGTCTAGATTGAATGCCAAGCATATATCCTTGGGTATAGCTGTCCACCACCTTAATTGGTTTCATACTTAATTGGTTTCATGCATCAGTTTGGTGCACAGCCAATCCTACTCAGTTTGCACAGCACGAGCAATCCACCCCATCGCTCCCTTCACATTTTATAGGCATTTTGTTGTTGGCTTGCCTCCACTCCTGCTGCAATAGCATGTGTTGGGTTGTTGCTGCTCAGAATGTGTAGGGTCCAGCATTATGTTATAATGTCCTTGCACCACGCATGAAAATCTTCAATGTGTCTTCAGCTTGGATCCCATCCAAATGGAGGCAGCAGAGTCTCCCTGAAAACCAAATAATAAAGAAGTGTGTACCCGACAGATTTGGAGGAGGACAAGAACATCGCTGAGCCATTGATTCGCTTGACGGGCTTACCAGTTATGGACTCCACTTCCCATGTGCGTGTGACTGGGGCAAACAACGTGGGGGGTTGTACTTTCTTGGTATTCAGACCCAGGTGGGTTTCTTTCTGCCCATTGTGATATCTCGCTGACAGGTTGGTATCTTGGATGCTTGAACAAGCATCGGGGTTCCTCTGGACTGTTTGCTGCATGGGCACCTGTGTGCCATGTCTGCTCTTATCACGTGGGGACTGGGGTGTTGCTTTGCCAGCACTTTAAAGCTGCTCTCGATCGCAGGCAAATTGACACACTCTGATCATCGGAGTTGAGCAGAGACCCATGCCATGATGTGCAACTATGCATTCATAGAGATGCGCATCGTTTATTTGTCTGTGTTTCTGTACTGGCGTGCATTGCATTCATGTTGCTGGTTTTCATGTGTGACTGGAACAGACTGCACTCAGGGTGGCCCTGACATTGTGTCAATGATGTCTTGGCTTGTCGTCGTTGCAGCCCTGACCACGTGGCTACTCTTTGCGTAAAGGACACTGCAGGCATGCCAACAAAACGGCTGCAGAGAGTGCGCATGTATCGGGTAGGGTCTCTGGGGCAATGGGCGCCCATGGAAGATTGCGATTCAATAGTGCTGGGAGGCGGCCCTTTTGCGGAAGTTGTTCAGAATGCGACTGTGCGACAGCAAAGGTGATGGCAGGTTGTGAACGGGGACCTGGGAGCTCCGGATGAGGGTCTCATGAGAACAAGGATACACAAGGGAATGCGGAACTCTGCATCATTCCCCTGGATGGTTGGTGTTGTGGAGCGATGGCAATCATCACTGTGTGTTGCCGGTTTTGATTCTGGACGAGACCTCACGACTGTCCACATTCGAGCAGATTCCAGTTGCGCAACGTCTAATTCCTGCTGCACACCTATGTGTCAATTTGCTGAAAACACGGCAGTTGCAAATGCGCTCCAAACAAGCTCATAGCCCGCAGCACGGCCCATCATGATGACGGTCGCATTCGAATACTCAAATGATGTTTGGGAAATAGGACATGAGAAATTTATATTGCTTCTGATGTTGCAGTTATCAGTTGATCAACATGGGGGTCCTCAGCAGGGAGGGCATACCCCTGTTAGTTGCTGTGCGGTCTTAATCAGAAGGAGAGGTGGCCATGTACAGATGACGCTGTTGTAAGTAGAACTGATTGAGTATTATTAACAACTGAATGCGTGAAAAGATGATGAAGCACTTGGAATTGCATTAAGGACGTTGATGAACGGACTGAACATAAAGGTCAGAACGCCTGTTATCCTTTTGCCTCGGCTGCAAACCGTTGCCGTGGACTCGTGCGTACGATTCCCGTTCAGGGATCGCCACCCCTCGATCCTGCCTGCCTTCGACAACACCAAAAGCGCGGTCAGGATCACAAATTTGGCCACACGTACGATTCAGACAGCAGACACTTCCTTTTGGCAATTAGTACGGTTGAGTAAAGAATTGCCCCGTGGCCAACGAGCAAATTTTGGCCACTGCGCGTGAAAGGTGCTCAAGAAGGCTGCACAAAATCTCAAGACTGAACCACATGGCGATCAACCACTCCATCAAGTTACCGTCACCCCTCAGTTTTTGTTGCAGCGCAATCGCATGGCCCAAAACCAACATTGCTTCTCTTTAGACAACGGTGGCACCTGGACTGTTGAATGTAATGCAATAATTTGGACAGAAAGAAACCCCAAAAGTAAATGTGGTGCTCGACCACTGCTGCAGTAACACCAATGCAGGGGTCTGCGTTTGCAAACCAAAGCTGGAAATGGTGCCAAACGCACGGCGGTGTTTGTGATGCTTTCGGTCCCATTCGAAACCGGCACCCATTTCTAATGCATGTTCATCAGTTCACCAATATTCCATTTAGTTTTCATTCGGGGCTATTTTTTTCCTTTTTTTCGGGGGAGGGGGGGGGTTCCTGCAAGCTTACTCAGTCCAATGACTGACTGACGAGCGGACTGACTGAACATGTCCTTGGAGACGATGTGGAGATCTCTGTCCAAACACTGTCCAGACACTGTCCAAACACTGTCCAAACACAGACACAAGCTGTACGGGACGAACAGTTGCCCTACCTGTAATAGTGATGCATTTTCGCAGTGCTCGTGTGAAGCACGACTGAGACGTGGTGGCAAGTCAGAGGACTGAAATTCTGGGCGATCTTTCACGACGTAATATAGTTACCTGTCACAGAAGCTGACGACTATTTGGCAATTTCCTGGTGCCTGGGAACGGTCCCCACCCACCTACCCGCGCACTCACTGCCACTCCCGCCCCGCCTCGCTATTCACGCATCTGAATGACCGCAATTCCAAATTCGATGTAGTAACACTGTCGGAATATACTGCGGCAGTGTTTCTGCCTGATGCTGCTGCGGGTGTTGGGCACACCTGCATCGACCGGTACCATCAAGCGGTGCTTCAAGTTGCCTTGACCCCAGCGCAGGTGCGTGCCGGCACGTGCCCTGCGAACGTCTTTGACCGCCAGCCGGTGTTTTAGGGGGAAACAAATCGGCCGTTATGTTGACCCGAACTACCACGTCGTGCTGACAAAAAATCAGTCATCAGTTCGCTCAGCGGGTCGAGGTGTAATTCCCTCTCTCCCTCCTTCTTGCCACTTTTCCCCCCTCGGATGCCCTCTGACTTTCCAGCCAACGTTGGCGTCCGAAAGTTGGAAGCGGGGGCGAGTCAGAGGAGCCGGAGATACTGAAAATTGGCTTCGCCCTGATGGCGGCGGTATTGGTGGGGGGCCAGGTAGGCTGGGGGCAGTGCGAGCAACTGTCACTGTTCCGCCTCGCGGCAGCCTTGACCGCATGTGGCTGGAGTTCAGTTCCACCATGGAGGGACCTGGAGTCCGTGACTGCTGCGCTGTGGATTTTGGGACTTGGGCGGCGAGAACGCGTAATACGCGTGCGCTTTCGTGCGGTATGCCCTTGTTGAAAGCGCGGCTTTCGCCTTTGACAAAAGTGCGCGCCGGCCGCAGCATCCACGGGGCCTGTTCGCATTGCCAACTGGCAGACATGCCCGAGTGTTTGTGCGACGGCGGTGGATTTACTCGCCGCCGCGGCGTGCTCAAGAAAGTCAACGGTAACTGACCCGGGACACAGCATGCGTTGAAAGCTCAATGAATGCAATGGCTTGAATGGATTGAATGCATGGTAGCGCGTGGCGCGCCCGTTGGTCTTGCAGATGACTATCGCTCTTGTTGTCTAAGCTTTCGTACGTGGCCGTTACAGAATTTGGCGCCCCTGTGCAACGGAGATAATGGTCTGCGTTCGCCGGCTGCCCGAAATTCAGGCTCAATTGCCATTAGTTGAGCAGGCCATTGCTGCCGGCCAGCGGCAGCCGTACGAATTTTGGACCCTAGAACGCATCAATTGATGCCTGGCCAAACGCCTCGCCCAAAGAGCGCCAGTGCTGACAGTAAGGCAACGGGGGCACGGCTGTCTGTCAAGTTTCGGCGATGAATTTTGTGCAGATTTCAGGAAGAGCCGCTGGCGCAAATAATATGATGAGACTCACTCCAAATCTCGTGGTGAATCTTATCAATTTATTGAACGGCGGTGAGTGGCATCAGAAAAACCCAAATGGGTTGGTTTCCAGAAGAACACTTCATTTTAATAGGACGATATGGAATTTGAATATGCAATGAAATTCCAGTCTCCCGTTCCAGTAATTTTGGCTGCTTAATATCAATGCATTTCGATCGCATGTTATTTCGATACATCGCCACACGTATATGCGCACATATGTACATTGCATATGCGCATGATGGCATGCTATATTCTTTTCTTTTATCATTTCTTGGTGCTCTGAATATGCCTTGGAGAAGTGAATCTCAAATGTGTTTAACATTTTTCAAATTTTGGTTTGTTAATGATGCAACCAATACGTCAAGTAGTTGCGTACCAGTTTAATATGTCAAGCTTGCACGTACTAACCAGCCAACAAAATCAATATTACCTCATTTATCACCACGCTTTTACTTAATCAATTCACTAGTCGTTTCTTCGCTTTTCTGTCTGCTCACTATTGTTAAGCTGCCAATTGATCCATGGTTTACCTAAGCAAGTCAACCATAGCGAAGCAGTCCAACTTTCCATTCAAGGTCTCCGAGCCAGCTGGCTTGGATCCTGCAGGATGGCAGGTTTCCGAACGAAGCCACTTCCCTGCACCAGTACACAATCTCGCTTGCTCTGAATGAGCGTCAATCACACGCGTTCACTCATCTATTCCTGTGGAAATCCGGATGGACGTCAAATTCGCTTCGGTAAAACTGCGCAGTGCTGCTCATCTGCGAACCATGCTCCTCGGACTACGACATTCCCCGCTGCAATAACCCCTACGAGTCCCGCAGCCACCACGGCAGCCACGGCGGCAGCAAATGGATGTGCCTTCGTCAGGACGCACCAGGAGCGCACGACACTATTACCTCCACTTCTCTTGCTGAAGCCTTGGTGGATACCACGGCAAATATTCGCATGATGGGAGCCTCGCATATTACCGAAATCAGGGACCCTGCGGCCCCTCCGAGCTGCACTGACTATCGCGGAATCCACACAATCACCTTGGGGAATACATGAGCAAGGAAATCGCCGACTACGGCACAGGTAAGTACGGCGGGAGTGGAAGCTGCTCTTGAGAGCTGCTCGCACAAGCAGTCCCACCGTGGATGCAGCCAGGGCGAAGTACTTAGGCATGGCAGCTGCGGCGGGTGCGATACTCCAGCTACTTAACAGGGCACGATCAATACGGAGGGCACGGAACCCACAATGAGCCCATGCAGAAGGAAAACAATGAAGTGCCGGTGGATATATTCGCCCATTCCACACAAAGGCAGACATTAGAGGCAAGGATGCTGGCGATATGCGCGACCCCACTTCTTGGACAGTGAAGGCGTCACTCCCGCGCCGGACGCAGAAAAGGCAATGGCGGTGGGCGAAATATGAGGCTGGGAAGCAAGCTCTTCAGGAGCAAGAAGCAAGTGCTGTGATGTGCCACATTGCAGGTGAGTAATGCGCTTGGGAGGGGAGGCGATAACCAATTCAATACTTGCATTCAATGATACCAACGAACAAAGTAGCACATTGACAGCGCACTTCGCTGTAAACATAGCACACTGCACAAAAAACGCAATCCCTCGAACTCTACATAAGCTGCCAAACAGCAAGAACAGAATTTGGGATTGGCTTGCATAGAAATGGGCGACTCCGCATCAACCCATTTTAACGTGAGGGATTGAAGACCAGCTTTTCGCGCTTGTAGTCCCTGCACTTGAATTGTGTTCTAGACACAGACGGGACTCGCTGTCTCTGCAGGTGGCTGTTCTTCAAAAGGACCTCTTTCGACGCTACGTTTAATCAAGCATCTTGGCGGTTTCCTTGAAACCTCATGAAGCTTATGCGAAGGCAGAAGATACTTCATCCTGGTCCTTGACACGCATATCTCTCGCCTGATTGCAATCAACCAATCCATCAATGAATCAATCAATCAATCAATCAATCAATCAATCAATTGTCAAGCAATTACGGGCATTCCTGAGCACCTCAGGGGGTCTCTTGACAGAGATGGCAGACTCGGGCGGACGCGTCCACTGTTTTTTGGCGCATCCTGCTGCTATCTGTCTACCCTTGGGCCAGTTGTGTGTAAGGGAACCCCATCAAAACTGAGCGAAACCCAGTTTCTGGGATCTGCGACATCCGTAACGTTTATTGAGGGGTTCATGACCAAGGCTCGTACCAACATTTGGCGAATTGAATCCAAGAAATTTCATGATGTCCCATTCGCCTTCCGAGCTTTCGAGTTCAAAGTTGAGCCGAGCACAGAATTCCAGACTGCGATTTGCCAGATGCAAGATGCACTTTACATCATCGGATGGCGCGTCACAACGCTGTTTCCTGTTTTCTTTTTTTTTCGCTCGATCATTTGACTGAACGGCCACACTGCTGTGAGTTCAGCTACGTGCCACCGTGCATCAAGCTGCAAACCTGTGCCCCGCTTAGAGAATGCCATCGAGACCAGCGGATGGGGCATATCAACCCAAGAATGTGGTGTGGTGTCCCTATGCCTCAAATACACAGGTTATCAAGCTCCAAACATGCAATGTGCTCTTTGTCTTGGTTACTCTCAGTACACGTTGGAATTAAACCCTTGCTCCGACACCTCACATCCCAACGCAACCCCCGCACCACTTGGAGAAGTACGTTATGAATTGTCTTTGTTTGTGCTGGTGACATGATATGTAGCTGTCGGTTCATTATAGTGAACCACAAACCCAACCCACCCCCACTCCAAACAGCGTCAATCCTTGTCGGAAGCCCCTGCTGTACTTCAGGGCAATGTAGGCTTCTTCACAACTGCAAAGCGAAAATGCTGGTGGCGGATGACTGTATTAGCAGAGTTATCATAGTGCACTCTTCAATTGAAGACTTGCAAGAGTTGAAGAGTTGCAGAGCGGTTGCAACCGCTCATCCTGAGCGAATCAGGGCCCCTGTGCTGATCCTTGCAGCATGCCCCGCCAAGCATTTTTTTGCTCACACAACACACCCAATGGCGCAAGGAGCCCTCCCTCTTTTGCGCTATGCAGCACCTGGTATTGCGCCAGCGAATGGCACAGTCTTGGCTGCCAGTCTTGCCAAGACTCATTGGCCCAATGGGCCAATAATGGGCGGCACGGATAGATGGTGATGATAAATTCCAACAATTGCACGGCAGCCACCGGGGGCTATGTCGCCACTCAACCGCAGAACAACAATATGTCCACTGTTTGTCCCAGTGTTCATCTCAATCCTGTACCGACTATCCGCCTCTACATTGGAGCATACAAACACTTTGCAAGATGGGGGCGGGCGTTGCCTTGTGTGAATTCCCAGAATTCCTGCACGGAGCCCCAGCGAAAGCCGTTGGCCAAGCTCGCCGTTTCTGGCATGCACACCATCTACTGCCACACAACGATGGCCTCGCGCCGACCCCTTCGCTGTGGTGCTTCTAGTGTAATTCCATTGGTTACTGCCGCCAATGTTCTCGACCCTTCCTCCCCTGACCATCCTTTGTGCACTGGCGGTGCCAAATCTACATCATTCAGCGAATGCACTTTTGTGCACGGCCATGCAAATGCAGGCCCACAGGCGTATCTGGGCTCACGATGCCCAGGCAGGATTCGCGAGGTTTAGGACTTAGATATCCTTTATACTGAAGCTGTGGATCAGGGTGTATTCCCTGCGTGGCTGCGCTCTACATTGGGCTATCAGTTTGCACTTTTCAATGGCACATGCAAAAAATTCCGACCCTTCCAACATTCACATCAAAATTAGCACAAGCAGCAGCCCAAATCGTCCCGTAGCAGCCCCAGTTCCATGGATCATCTTCCCGCCGTAGGTGCAAGCGCAAAATGCACAGGTGGCCAAAATTGCACAGGTGCTAAAAACTGCAGCACTAAATGAAGAATGCACGTTCTCTGTGAACACGAAAGCGCTCCAAAGTCATGCACGGAAACTGGAGGCTATCTTCCTCAGGTTTGACTGCGACTTCGCCCATTGCTTGTCGTTGGCTGTGGCAACAAGCAGCAGTGCCAAATCGCCCTGCGCAGAGCCAAAGAAAGCATACCCGTCAGGCCAGGAACGCACATTTGCGCAAAAGGGGCAGTGTACGGAACTATGCCCAGGGGACATTGAACAATTCTGGTTGGATGCGTGTGTGTCCGCCACAGCCTGCAAGGTGCAAGGGCTTTTGCTTGCCATGGGCTCTTTGACAATGCGATCCATGGAACCTCATCACGATTCACGTTGCGCCAGGAGACCCACGCTGTGATGGTGGCATGTCAACATTGTTAAGCATGCTGTGCAAGCGCCCCTTGTTTGACAACACATATAAGATTGGAGTGTTAAAATCAAACAATTCAAAAGTAACCGTTCTTGGTATGTTGCTCGCCAGGAATTATGTGGTGTTCATTACGATATTGGTTTTGTAGACAGCTTTTCATGTGCATGGAGGCACTTAGCTTGCACTGGGTTCAGTGAAAAATTCTGTGACAGTCCCGCCAGCAGCAGTGTGTGCCATTTTCGCAACAAAATAGAGAGGAGGACGAAGCGGATGCAGGGTTATACCAGGCGCAAGCATCTAAAGAAGAAGCTGCATGTGCGAATGACGACCAATGATGGTGTGACAGACACACAATTCCAATAATGTGGCGATTGGCAAAGACCCCTATAAATGCACGACTGACCAGGATACTGATTGAGCGCAAGGCCAGGATCGACAACATTTCTAGACTAAGCTGTGGCAAATTGCCACTGCTCAGGAGATATTCCCCATAGCAGAAAGTGCAAAACAAACCATGATTCAATTTTGTGTTGGTGATGCTGGCGCAGTTCCCTCTCACCCACCAAAAGAAGACATAGGTGTGAGGTGGCCAGGTGCGAAGCGATGCACTTTCCACAATCATTGAAGCAGGGAATATTGCTACATAGAAACTGCATAACGACCATGAGCTCTCCAAGGAGCTCTCCAGTACAGCCCAACCATCAATCACCTTTGTGGTGCACGATGCCACTGCATGAGTTCCAAAGGTCCCATATGGCGTGTTCACCTCGTACATGTAGTACTGTCACAAACAAGGCAATGTCATTCCAATAGGAAATACTCATCGAATACATTTGTCAAGATGTGATCAAGCCCTGCCGTTTTCGTGGGGGATAGTGTGAAAGGCTGTCAACAAACACCAGCAGCTGTTTTAGTGAATGTTCCCCAATGAACAGTCAGCAGCCCATCGGCGCAAGTTTGCCAGTGGACAGCATTGCTCACAACAACACAGGAGAGCTGCACTCCCATCCGGTTTCACAAAAGCAGTTTTGAACAGTAGAACGAGTTAAAAACATTTTTCATTGCTTCCTTTTCAGTCGTTAATTTGCAGATGCACATATTTATTTCGACTGAAGTCAAGTGCTGATGAGATGACACTCAACATGGCATAGCCACAGTTCATGTTCTGATGTCATTTGCTTCACAATGAACAAACAAAAATCCAACAAATCTACCACACTTCAAACCTTCAGGAATTGTTGTGGGTAGATCAGGGACTCCAATCTTGCTATACACACTTGGACCCCAGAGCTGTCGTTCTTAAATAATGAGCACTATGTTAGGGTCCAAGTGTCGCCTGACGAAAACGCAACTTAAGGCTGGCATAGCAATCAATTTCTCAACAATACCGTGCGTCCATCATCCTGCTTCTTGCTTTCTGCAGACACCAGGTCCTCTTCATCAAGAACTGTGCCTGCACAGCAAAGTAAATTCACAATGTGCATAAGTACAGCATAACTATGTACAGCCATGTACAAGTGCAAGTACAACTGTGCTGAAAGCTGACCCACTGCGATCAATTCAGTCTTCTAACTTAATTCACAACTCATTTCCATCGCGGGAGTTGAAATTCTGTTCGGAAAGTTTGTCCCACTATTCAGAATTTTCCAAATGATGGGGAGAGGCAAAGCAGTCTTCAAAACAAGCAATGCCTGGAATGTGCAAGGCCACTGGCATGTCATATTTCAACAACTGTTGTCAAAACAGATGAAGTTTAAGTTGGCTGGGACTGGCTTCAACAAGGGATGCCAGTGCAACTGGCCATGCGTGCCTGTGATGTATGGCCCGATCGACTGCAACACCCCTTTCGTTGATCCAACTTCCTCCATCTTGGCCTCACGTTTGCTGGTTAGGCGAAAGAGAGGGGTCACCAAAACGGCGACCCGTCCCTCTGATGCATCGTTGAAGATGACTTCTGTCCATGGTTCATCGCACCTGGGCTGCCACCCACACAGAACACTGAGTGCTGGGGACTGTGAACAGCTGATGGGGCAGAGCTAGGGAAGGGATGAGTGCTTTGTGCACATACATGCTGTGTGCTATGTACATGAAAGTCCAGGAGCTGGATTGTGGCCCCACATCCACAACCCATGGCCCTACATCGCACTCCTGCTGTGTGTGCACATACTCAGTCTGTCAATTCCCTGAATGACTCGCAGTTCTTACAGTCTCGATGACGAGAATTGATGTGCTTGTAAATTCAAAGTGGACATCGTTTTACTTCCATGATTGGAGGTGATTGGCAGTTTATAGATCACCATGATCGAATTGGGTTATATGGATATTCCCTGCACCGATCTCACATTTTCTGACCTGCTGTGTGATCGATGGTTATGGGCAAGGGGTCTGTGTGGTCCATGAAGACTGTGAAAATGGCTTTTTCCACAGTGTCTTGGCTCCAGCACTGTGTGATCTTCTGCACTTTGTATGCTGTGAAATCCACTAGGGGCATACCTGAAAGATTTCTGCAACTGCCAGATCAGCGGCCTGGAAGTTTTGCATTTTCTGTCTTCCTTTGGTCACTGTCCTGTGAATACTGCTGGTCCCAATCAAGGGAGTAAAAGCATGAGTGTATCCATGATGCAGTGTGGAAAATGGCACAGGATGTACTAAATTCAGATCCTTAGACAACTTTGCTTTTCCAGCAGCCTACAAGGACCTCACCATGTTTGGCGAAAGAGCATCCTAAACCAACGTCTCAAAGACACACAAAGTCCACAGATCCCCAGGCACCAACTACAGCGACGTGTTCCAAAATGTGGACACATACGACATTTACTTCCATTCATCGGGTACACTATCCACTGCAGAATTCCAAATTTATCTCATCAGAAACTGCATTATCAACACAATCAGCTGGAGCATGGCTGCAATGCCATTGGCCAACCTGACAGTAGTTGCCACTCAATATGTTGGCCACCTTCCCTTCGCGCCAAGTTGTTGGCAAGGAAAAGCTGTACGGGTTCTTGGGGTCCACTGTCCCAGCACGTATTGCCTGTAGCCCAAATTGCTCAAGATGTCAATGTGTTTGAGTGACCAGAAACAGCAGAAATCAGTCACACAGATGGTTGACCCAGAGGTTTCCTTACCCCCTGCACAGTACATACACCACAAAGACTGGAGCAGCTTTAGGTTGCTCGACTGAGACTTGACACAAGGCTGCCCACTAATGGTCAGTCATGCTGCAGGTCCGATCTGGCTATCGTTGCTTCCAAGCCTGAATGCACTCCGTTACATGTTTTGTAGCAAAGCACTCACTGCGCCTGGGCACCGTTTTCGCCCAGCGAATCGATCCAAAGCAGTCCACAGACCAAATCCGTCCCAAGGGCGCGAACCGCGATGCACCGCACGCACCGGCGTCTTCTGCGCATCTGGCACGAATTTCACGAATCCGTCGATGTTGGAGGGCGGCAGGTACTCCCCCACTTCGGCGGCCTCGACGGTCTTGCCCTGAGCGCCGTCCGCGGCACCCAGCAGCCCAACCCCGGCGACCGGCGCGGCGATCATCAACGCCCGTCGAGACACCTCCACAACGTCCTGAACAGCTCCCGCACCGTTCCTCACCGCCTCGGCCTGGCCGCATGCCCCGCTATGGCCGGGAGCCTTGCCGACAAGCACCGCGCGCCTGCCGCCGCAGGCCGCGTGGCTGGAGTGCGCACAGGGCGCGAACGACATCCTGCGACCCGCAGGCTTCGAAGAGAGCGGCCTGCAGTTGCAACGGGGTACACGATGGAATCACCGAAGACATTACGTGCGCAAAGAACGCGGGGAAATGGCCGGATCCTCGCCAATACCGCCCGGTGGAATCGGCGCCAGCGCCTAAGAGTCCAAAGGGTGGTACCCCGCTGGCGACCCCTCTCTGTAATCTCGGCGCATCCAATCCGTCCACATCCCCCATCCACCTAAGGGAACACAGCAGCCCTTCCACTCTGCGATTGGGGAATGGAAACGGCTTCCAGCCGTTTCAGATGCGCTTCGCGGCCCAGGGACCGCCGCGCCCGGGCGCACGTGCCTCACCTTGCCCTCGATCGCCGCCCCCGTCCGCGGCGGCGCCAGCGGCCCTGCACTTCGCGTGATCGCTCCGCCAGCCACACACGCACCCTGCGCTCATCTGGCGCGAATTGAACGGCGGAAAGATCGCAGAAGGTGCGCCCGGTGTTTTCCGCTTTTTGTCTGAATTTAGTATTTGCGCCTGAGCTTGAGCTTGACAACAACCTCCACAACGTTGATTAAATTTCCGTGCAAAGAAGCCGGGGGCCCACCCAGTTCGAACATATGGTTCTGTGGGAAAGAGTGGAAGATGCCGCACGCGGACGACGTCTGGCAAGCCCCAACAACAAAGAATTGGAACGAATGGAGGAAGAACACCATCACACAGAGCGACGCCGTTTTGTGGCAGCATTCAGGGACGCGACCTTGGCTGCCAGAAAATGTTGGACAGTAGCAGGCGACGCGTGACACTGCCTCGTTGCAGGCAGAGGCTGGGAAAGGCAACCCCCGCATTAGGTCCTGGCCTTCCATTTAGGGATGCATTCACATTCACGTCCACCGACACGCGGCGCCGCGCTGGCGGCTCACAAAGTACGGCCCCACCGGCAAGGAACCTGGCCTTCTCAGCTTCCCCCACCACCCCTTTTCCGAAAATTTCGGCCGTCTCGACCCTTCGCCGCCCTTCGCCCGGCGCACCGCCTCCCAGCCGTCGGCGCAAAGCCCTTGCCGGACTTCTGCGCGCCCCGCCGACGGCAGCCCGCCCGGCATCCCCCCCATCTCCTTGCCAGCGCATCCCGCCCACCAGCCTCTCCACCCCCCTCCCCCCTGCCCCTCGGCCTGTCGTCAATTCTGCTCTGCTTGGCGCGATTGAGGGCAAATGCCAGAGTCGCCGGAGCCGCGGCGCTGATCTTGGGACCCCCCCCTGGCTGATCGATCCGCGGTCGACGGCTGGAGTAATTCATAAGCGGCCGAGCTGCGTGGCGGTGTGAATTTGTGGGCCGTGCTGGTGGGCATCGGGTGAAGGTCGGGTCAGGGCGATCGTGGCGATGGCGCAGCAGGGCAACCAGCCCCTGCCCGCCAAGGAGGCCGGGCTCCTGCGCCAGATCGTGAAGTTCTACGAGAGCAAGCAGTACAAGAAGGGGCTCAAGGCGGCGGACCAGATTTTGAAGAACCATGCCGGGCACGGGGAGACGCTGGCGATGAAGGGCCTCACGCTGAACTGCCTGGACAGGAAGAAGGAGGCCTATGACCACGTGCGCAGGGGGCTCAAGGAGGACCTCAAGAGCCACGTTTGTTGGCACGTGTACGGGTGAGCGGGTTGGTTCGTGTGGCGGATGGGCGGCTATGGGCGCGCGTCAGGCCTGCATCAGTGCTCAAGTCACTTGGGCCGGCGTCTTTCTGTTGTGGGAGGACGATATGAACGGTGGGGGTCATGTTTTCGAAATTTGACGCGTGCCAGTGGGCGGTTGTGGTGGGGATTCGTTGGAACCCTGTTCGGGGCGTCGGGCCAACCAGTGGCGGCCATGGCAGTGCGATCGCGTTGCCGCTGTCCCTTGCCGATGAAACGCTGCACATGAACTTTAAGCGTTTATTATTTTCCATAGCATCTCATCATGTTTGAGAGTCCAGGTGCCGCTGCTTTCCCAGCAGAAGAGATGCAGGCCTTGCACCACCCCGCTCTAAAGTTCAGGGCAATGCAAAGCCCACGTTGTGAACTTTTGGCGTGTCGTTTCCTTTTGTGTATTGATTTCGGGTTGTGACAGCAGACGCCTTTGTGCTGGTGTTCATCAGGCTGCTGTATCGATCCGACCGGGAGTACAGGGAAGCCATCAAATGCTACACAAACGCCCTGAAATGGGACAAAGACAACATCCAGATTCTAAGGGACATGGCACTTCTCCAGGTACACAAGATGATTGTTGTTGATGCTATTCAGATTCCCTGTCAACTCAACACCTCATCACACTGTGTCTGTGCCATATGCCAGCAAATCTCCAATGTCTTAATAAAGTGAAATTTCGTCCCCCAAATGAGACGATCAGCAGCATAGGTCAACCCCTGAATTGGTCACATGAGTCCACTATAATGATTGCACGAGTCCATTTCAAGGGTGCATAAGAAAGAGATCCACTGTGGTGCAGCGCAACCTATGTGTGCAGGTAACCTGTTGTATTGGAAACTGTACCCTGTTGGGGGTCATCATGTAGTGGGATCGCCCATTGTGATGCGTATTCCAGCATTAGATATGTGCCTCTTTTGCTGCATTTACCTGTCAGTTATCTTCTCATTTCCATGTGTCCCACGCTGCTTGATAGATTGTTTTGCATGTCATGTCGTGTGATTCAACAGCTGGCCATGAAATCAGACTGTTGAGGGGCATCGATACTGCACTAGCTGTTGTGGTTGCAAGGAACCATGCATGCGCTGAGTGCTGCAATGAGAAATATTGATTGCTTTGCCTGCACAATGCAGAAATGTTCCCTTGCACCTTGCCAGCAAGACAGGCATTTGTTGGATCCAAAGAAATTGTAGTTCTCCCACTTGTTTATCACTCCTTGCTCCAGTTTACACAGCATGTGAATACTGTGATCCATGGTGGCATAGGGCTTGCAGTGTGCTCACACAAAGTGAAAATGCAAAACGGTTATAGCCATGGATTTGTGAGCGTGGCAGGCATTTCGCACCTTTTGACAACACTCACAATTGCTGATGTGTGATTTGTGGAATTCTTGCAGATACAAATGCGAGATCTGAATGGCTTCTTGGAGACGCGAAATCGCCTGCTACAGCTGCGACCAGGCAACAGAAACAATTGGATAGCATTTGCTATTGCCCATTACTTAAACAAGCACTACGACATCGCTGTTCAGGTCCTCACAGCCTATGAAGGCACATTGGATGATATTCCAAAGGAAGAGGCATATGAGCACAGCGAAATGCTGCTGTTCAAGGCAACGCTTCTTGAGGCATCGTCCAAGCTGCAGGAGGCAAGGGAGTTCTTGGATGCTTCTGAGGTACAGGAAGTCCTGCTCTGGGTGGGGTGCGTGGGGGAAGGGCATGATGTTTTGCCCCATGATGCTCTAAGGACAGTCAGTTCCTCAGGCTGGATGGTGGATGTGTTCTTGCTTCAAAACATTGCACACAGCATTCTGGCTGCCGCTTCTTCTGAACTGTCATAGCACAAGCTGGAAGGTGGTTGAAAACAGCACCCATCATCACAATAACGTGGAAGGGTAGGGTTATGTCAAACAACAACACATGTGGTCAACACTGGTTTCCAGCTGTGGTTAGCTAGAATTCAGTGCGACTTACTGTGGCCATCAACAGGCCAATCGGCAATTCACAGCCATGCCAATGAAATGCAAGAAATCGTGCCATCAGGCACCTAGATGTTCAAGGGCATGTTCCACAGTGATGATACTCATAAAAATGTGACCAATCGCTGCTGTTGTACCTGTCGGGCCATGTTGGGGCGGTCAAGGGCAAGTTGTGCTTGGTGCACAAAGGTGTACTCCTGCACGAACTTGAGTGCAGCTAGTTGTGGAAATCTGTTGAATCTTTGCATGGTTTGTTGTGCTTTTTTGTTAAATCTGGGAAATGTGCTGCACCTTGAGCATGCCGAGATCTACAGCAATGGACAGACTTCAAACACAATACAAAGTGCATTTAGATTCTTGTGGTTTGTGGCCACTCCCAAGGGTGCAGCAAGTGCTTCCCCAAAAGCTTGAGATGTTAACACGTTGCTGGACATCTGGAATGCATACACACCAATTCACGGCTCTCGATTGAACCAGCAATTTGTCTCATGGCTTGGCCATGCTCCCCCCAGTTGCCCGCTGTTGTTGTGATGCCTTGCAGCAGGGTGAGAGAACAGGAGCCTTACCAATCAGTTCATTTGGCTGCAGCACAGAAATTCGTTGCATCACAGAATAGCGAGGATACTGCTGCACTTTGCATGCATTTGGCGAGGGACATTGTGCAGGAGCCCTGGAACAGTGCAATGTTGCTTGTGTGTCAATCACTTGGGACAAGTACAAGGGCAGGTTGTTCCCGTTACTGGCGCAGTGATAGTGGTCTCCTGTATGGCTGCACTCACAACACTTACAGATTGTCTGTGTTTGCTGGTGTGCAGGCCCAGATCAAAGACAAACTGGGATGGCTTGAAATGAAGGCCAAGCTGCTTTTGCGCCTTGAAGCCCTTGATGAGGCAGAGCAACTGTACAGGTATACAGGCATCCACATTTGATTTCACAGATCAGAATTTGAAAATCAACTTGCTTGTACTCAGTGGGTATTGCTGCAAATTGTGCACATGCATAAGTGTCGTTTCCAAACTGTTTGGTTTATATTTCCTGAGTACCCGATGCACCTCAGGTACCATTGTACTCGATGCACCCTGTGTGGAGAGCATGGTGGTGCTTGTGGACAACCAATCAATCAACTGTGATTCCGTTATTGATCTGCCAACAGCAAAGGCCATGGCACCCTTGACGCTGTGAAGCAGATAACACCACCTTAAACTGAAAACAGAATTGTCACTGGATGTGTCTTGAATTTTCAGAGGGCATTGAGCAGTTTGGCACTGTTTGACAGGAGCACAGCAAACACGTTTTCTGAAAGTGTGGTTATCATGCTCAGAAGCGAAACACATAGAACCAGAACAAGTGTCTTCCAGTGCACCCTTTAGACGATGCTAGATCAAGGATTGCCCCACTGTGGCCTTGCACACTGCCCAGGTGTACGATTTGTTTGGAGACTGTCACCAAGTCTTGCCAGTTGTAGAGTCGTGGGAGGGAATGTTGGGCTCCCATCGAGCACCAAGAGTCCACCGTATTTGCACGTGCTATGTTTTGCTCTTTGTGCTCTCACCCATTTGCTTGTGGGATTGGTTCGCAGTGTCTTGTGGTGTTTCCATTGCTCCATATGTATTGACATGTGCCAATCACACGTGCAATGTTTTCCTACTTTCGGTTCGCATTTTGAATACATCCAGTGCTGTGTACGTCCATGTTGCCCTTACATGTTTTCTTGTTCTGTCGTGCGCCTAGGCAGTTACTAAGAATCAATCCTGACAATTATGATTACCACCGTGGCCTGCAGGCTGCCCTGAACATACAACCGGAGGCGCCTGGTAAATGGTCAGAGAAGGATGGGAAAAGGTTGTCAGAAGTGTACGCTGAGCTCCAGGCAGAATATGAGAACTGCATATCATGCCAGCGAGTGCCCCTTGATTTCTTGGTGAGCTTTCAAACTTGTCCCGCCTACCATTTTGTTCTCTTTGGAGCCTTCACGTATGCTTGGTGTCATATGAAGCACGCTCATTGCTTTTTTGCTTTCAGGGTGGAACACCATGTTTGCATCTTGCTAGAGATGTCAGATCTGGTGTTTGTTTCTTTTTTTATTTGAAAGGAGTGTATTTCATTTAGGAGACCAGGTGTGGTTGGGTGTGTATTGTAGATTCAACGATATTTCTTTGCATTGGGGAGGCTGCAGCTTGAAGGTCTATGCTGCTTCATGTTCTGTGGCAACCGCTGCATCCCTTTTATGGTGGTATATGGGCTCAGCAGCGTGAATGCTCTTTGTGTGTGTGGTGCCTCAGGAAGGGGAGGAATTCCGTTCTGCTGTGGATGCATATGTTATGAGATTTTTGGAGAAGGGCATTCCTTCTCTCTTCTCTGACCTCAAGCCGTTGTACAGGTCTGATCACTCACATCACAGGACAACTACCACAACATCGTTGCCGTGCTTACTTTGCAAGCTGTGCTTGGCAGTAATGGCAAATCGTTCTTTCAACACATTCAGGGCCTGTTGAGGTATATGGCTGTTTGGGGCAATTGCCGGACTTCCTGCCAACCTGGACAGCAGTTAGATCCAGTATGCCAGGTCCGCCAAAATAGGGGACACAAGTCCTCAAGTATGACTGAATGAAGGGGCCCCCTATGCCTCATAATTTGATCCAGGGGCTGCAACAAGGCATTGCTCCCTTCAATGTTGAATTTTCAAGCAATATTGATACCCCCACCTGTTTTCTGGTTCCTTATGCTCTGGACTCAATCGTGGCAGATCTTGTTGGGCATGGTGCTTGGATGTGGGGCTTCCAGTTTGGAACTTTGTGTGTCCTGTGTGTCGATCTGTTAGGGACGAAGCGAAGGCTGCAGTTCTTGGGGAGCTGTTTGAGGGCTATGCTACCACCCTGAGAGCATTGGGCTCTCATCCAGAATCTGAGAATTGCAAGAACCCGTCGAAGCTGTCCCCACAGGCACGGGTGTGGGTGTTGCACTACCTTGCACAGCACTATGACTACTTGGGGCAGACCGAACGAGCGCTCGCCTGCATCTCGGAGGCTGTTTCACACGCTCCAAAACTCGTTGAGCTGCACTCGGTGCAAGCCACGATATTAAAGCATGCCAAAGATATGCCTGGTGAGCAGATTCAGTGTGGCAAAAAATTGCTGACGAAGCAGGGTGTGAATGTAGACAGTTGGCACAATGTCGTTGCCCACATGCCTCATGGATGGTGCCACAGAGTGGTTGTTCGAAGGTTCCTAGGATACACCTGTTCGAGTTGGAACATGGGGCTGGTTAATATCGTGGCCTGAATTATGAAGATCACGATATATGTCTCTGTCTTCCACACACGAACGGTGTTGTCCCAAGAACCAGAGAACAACCAGTCTCCTTCCACCACACATGATCGAACAGGCAACGATTTGGAGATATGTATGTTTTGGGACAAGCGAATTATCATGCAATTGTTAGTGTACAAACAGACAGCAGGAATGTGTCAATACCTATCAGTACTTGCAAATGCCATCTGTATGCCAACAACACATTGGTGGACATGATGGTTGCAGAGACTGTTAATGGGTCCAGGATTTTAAGCTTCGATGCGCTCATCTGGTTATAGATGCAGCCAACTTGCTTCCTCACTCTGTATCCCTTTTGTCCCTTCATCCAAGCACTG